ATTGCTTTCCTAGAAGGGATACTCTAACTAAATAAAGGTCAAAGAGCCCTGGAGAGCTTAAGGAAAATTTAAAGTTGTTGCTTAAGTCAGGAGGACTGGCCACTGGATGCCTTCTCCAGTAAAAGTTTCCTCTACCCAACCTTCTCTGGATGTGGAGTAGAAACCTCTAAAGCCAAAAACCAGGGGATTGAAAGGATGCGAAGCTGACATGCTGAAACCACAGAGCTGTTGGGTTTGGCCATTTGGGATCTTCCTACACAAGCTGCAATCACCTCGGTGTCTTACTAAATGCTGATCTGACTAGCAATGAAGAAAAAATGACATTTTTAGAAGGTTTTAGAAATACTGCACCTGGAAAACAGCTGAGGAAGTAACTAAACCGTAATTTCCTACGTAATGCGTTTTGACATCAAGATAACAAGGAAATGAGTAACTACAGGTTGGAAGAATCTTGAAAACAACGCCACTTGTCAAACGACTGCAAGGAGCACAAAAATACGTTATGATTTTTCTGAAAACTTAACCTTACATTTTCCTGCAGGCACAGAACCCAGTAACCCACTGCTTACCAAACTGAAAATTTAGAGCACCCTCATTTACCTTTTAAACTGAGAACTTTGTAATACGTTACAAGGAAAATGTGTGATTGTAATCAAGGCTACAGTTCTCACAATCTCTGCTTGGAAGCAGAATTTGATTTATTGAGTGAGTCTTGCAGACATCAGCAAAGAGCCCCTTAACTGGACCATGTAGGTTATCTGGGAGGTTGCTAGAGATCTGGAAGCAGAATGGGGAACACTTAAGATTTTTTTTTGTCAGCTAAAAAAAAAAAAAATCATGAGAGGCATTCTGAGACCATGAGCAGCAAGAAAGATTAAAAAGCATACTGACTTTCCCTGCAATCTTTAGATTTCAGAGTTGACCCACTAAGTGAAATTGGGTGGCCTGCATTTCTCCAGTGCATCATCTGTAGGGCCTGCAACATTAATGGTATTATTTTGGGGCTCTGTTTTTTGTATTTCTAAATTATCATCTGGAACAGATTCTGATGATGAAAACTTTTGTTTTTTTTAAAAAAACCCCACACCTAACACTTCTGAAGCATAATCCCATTGCTGAGTAGATTGCATTGCAAATTCTTTGGCTGCATGACTGTGAAACACAGGGCCACATCCAGGACATCTTCCAAGCCAGGCAATGGCTCCAGCTTCCAGCAGGACTCCATTCTTCTTCATGTTGGAGTGTTTCTGGAAAGACCACATGCACAGCAAGCGATGCATGTCCTTCCCAATAGGGATTCATCTGCACTGCTCAGTGCTTTCCATATAACATTTCGGTGAGTTGGAGACAAACTAAGTTGAGTGCTAGAATATTAAATTACTCTCAGCTCTCAAATAACAGCAGACTGCCTTTATTGCTGGCTGTGTTGCAGGATGAACTACATTAACAACCAGTCTATCCTCATCTTTGGACCAGAAGCAGGAGTCTTATCATGGTGGGAGATGCTGCTACGATTAGGACTGTTGCTTAAATGAGCGTGTCTTATTTGTAGCTGGATCAGATATCACTGTAAGCTACCACATGTTAAAAAATAAAGGTCCTGGCAGGCATGTATCCTATTCACACAATGCTCCTCACTAATTTTGCCATTAAAAAAATAATCCCAGAACCAATGCCATTAAAAGCTCAATAATGTAATTTAACAATAACAGCAACAACAAAAAAAGGTCAGGCATAGTTTACTGTGATTTGGGAAAAAGAACCATGCCTGACATTTTTTTTTTTTTTTTAAATTATCTTGCTTCTCAAATCATTCTGCAGATATTCTGCAAGTAAATTTAAGTCCTAGGAAATGAAAAAGCAGACTATTTAAACTGCCAAAGTGACCTGCTATGTCTCATATATTTCATTAAGAGTTAAAAAACAGCTCAAAAAATTTCACTGTTGCAGAACATCTAAGAACTCCCAAGGACAGTTTTTATTCCACAGTGCATCACCTTACAGAGTTTGTAAAAAGTCCAGGATACCTCTTAAATAGTTCAGTCATCAATAAATCTTATGAATTAATGATTATGAATTAACATTAACTTTTGGATTCCTGCTGTGTTTCGGTGGAACGTGGAACAGTTCCACAAAACCCAATGACTACTGACGCAATAAGCAACTATTATAAAGAGTCAAGATCTAAATTTCATAGTCTTAAAAAAAATTTCAGGTTCTCCCATATCAGGCTTTGGAGTTTTTAGCCATCACCGGGGGTAAGCATGCTGCCAGCAAAGACCCACTTTCAAGAAACGCTCTCTTCCACGGAGCTGTTTAATCACAATTTTAGGAGCTCAAAGTCCAAATCATTCTCTGTCATGCAAAAAAAACATATTAAAGGACTTAAGGGAAGAAGACTCAGAGTTTTCAAGTCCAACAACTTCAGCAAATCGTTGCTATGGCATGAAGCTACATGGAGATTGAGGATCCTCGAGGAGCTTGATGTCACCCTTGCAGATGTATTCCTCCCATTCCCTGTGACACTATGGCTCAGCCAGAAGCTGTGCCATTATAGGAACACTGCTGTACCCTATCCCTTTGGAGGAAGAGGCGAGCTACAGATCGTCACTCCTTGCTGTTCGGATCGTCATTAAGGTAGGTGGGGAATTCTGCACCAGTATGTGGGGGTCCCTATGGGGATGGGCTGCACAGTGCAGTGGCAGGAGAGGGGCTCTGCTCCTACCTCCTGCAAGTTTTAGGACCTCCTTACAGCCAAGGGGAAAATTTGACCCAAAATAATCAGTCTTACAACACTAAGCATTTCTAATCCTTAATACTCATGGTAGCAACAACAGCTGCACAGTACCAGACAGTAAAGAGACTTTCCCTCTCTAAAGGTCCTTGCGTAGAAGAAAGAGTGCGTATTAGCCAAATAAGTAGGTCCCTCGCTTATTCCCCACAAGGCACGTCTTACAGAAGACAAAGTGAGGAGGGGGAAAAAAAAAATAGTTGCAAGTTAAACACATTTTGCTTTGAGGTCTCTGTATGCAGGACAGGGCCAGGGGTGGCAGGAAGATCTGTTAAAGTCAACTCTACCCATGAGCTAGAACAGAAAACCCGTTAATATAAGTGTTCTCCAAGACACCATCATGCCAAGAACTTGCACTTCCAGGTGTGGCAGCCACTATCTAAATGCTATATATCTTATTAAATGACCCCCTAACAATACACACGTATCGAGCAAATAACACTACAGAGCCAATCCATTCTCCTCTTCCCCCCAGGCTCTAAACGTTATGGCACACAACCTCCATTCAGACATTGAGTGTGTTGCAAAACAAAGTGAGTTGCACTGAAAGAACTTTCAGCTGAGCTATGCTCTGTAACCTGAAGTCTTAACGGGCCCAGGAGCACAGAGCACTCTGAACCACCACCTCAGGAGAATGATGGCTCCGTGGCACACTGCAGAACAGAAAGTAAGTTAGAACAAGTAAATACCAAAATGCTAATGTTAAAGCTAGCTGAGCGCTCGGATATTTACAGTCTGTACAATGTTCCTTGGTTAAAGTTTTGTAAGAAGATGAGCAATTCCAATCTGAAGGAAAAGAATGAAAGGTGCCGCTTTTTAGGGCTCTGTTTTAGAATACTGAGTTTAGATATAGGCACTAGTACCTGCACATTTAAAGGTAATTTGTCAAGCAGTAGCAAAACATAAGTATAGATACAAGCATCTTTAACTTCACTTCTTTAGGACAGAGATGGCCTTTTGCTGCTGGTATATACAGCATTTGTGCTTTGGAATTTCCATACTTTAACTGAAGATGTACAGAACAGGAATAACAATGGATGAAAAAGATGAAATCAGGAAATTGCCTAAAAACGTCCCAAAGAACCAGAGCACCATAAAGAGCCAGGTAAAAGTGCTGCTGGAGGACTGGGAGAACTTCTTTCCTTTACACAAAGGATACTTGTTCATTTTAATTTAACTGCATCCCACAAGGCCCAAATGTCACTTTAAAAAAGTTCATCTAAGTCAGTAAGTAATTCTTGAATAAAAGGATGAAAGTGTTCACCACAGGTAAGAGCAGCGGGTTTAGCAGTTCATACAAGTAGCAGTTACAGACAGAGATACAACTGAGATAGAGTGCTTTGGCATGACATGGGCTGTGAGCTTATGTCAAGGTAAATAAACACGTTACTCAGGACAGGCTGGAAGCAGCTGAACAGTCTAAATGGACACATTAACACCCAGCAATTCCAACCTGACAAGCCAGCAATGATAAAGACAGGCCAAGGCAAGTCTTAAAAAAGTTAGGGTTTTTTTCTCTCGTTTAAACTTCCTAATTACCATCATCATCTTATTCAATGTTAAAAACAAGGCAAAACTGACAGCAGTCTGCCCTCGGCTACTGCCTTACTGTCAAGAGTTGTGACCCCTGCCTACACCTCAATTTGTGTAGGGAGATGGGAGCTGCAAAGTGTTTCAATCAAGAAACATGATGTTAGCCACTAAAATTCAGTCTTCTGCTCACACCTGGATCCCCCACATCTCAACTTTTTATTTTGTCCTTCTGATTAAATAAAAAACGATTAAACGACATTCAGATGCTTTTCTGATCACACTTGGGTTTTCTCTCCTTGCTAAAACACCTTTTTTGCCTATCTAAACTGCATTAAATATGCCCGCTACAAAGTGTGCCGCCACTTGAACGTCTGTCTTCCAAGTCATCTGGCAAACGCACAGCATCAACCCACACGATGAGGTTGAGGTTTTAGGACCTAAATAGCTACAAGGACTAGCCTCTGAGACGATTGCCTCTTTCAAAGACTCAATATTAAGAGTAGAAAAACAGCATAAAGTGGGACAAGGCCAGTTCATGTTCGACAGCTCCAAGCTGCACAAGGAAACTTGTGCTCTGAGGAGGTTGGGCATTGTGCTTCATTAGGAAACAAAATATAAGCTTTCCACTCCATTAGGAATGACTTTAGGAGTGAAAGCACATAAGACGACGACTCACCTCATCAACAATGCACTGCAATAACTGGAGAGGCTGCAATGGAAAGAAGAGAGGGAAAAAGTATTAGCCTATATGCAATATCTTTACAGTGGAGTGGAAAGAAAAAATCATTAATGCAATAAAATATAGCAAGATTAATCAACAGCAGCAAACTCTTATAAAAACATTGATGCTCAGGATGTTCTATTATTTCTAATGGTACCTAATCTAATACAGGCAGTTAAAGGTTTGCATTTTCTTCAAAATGCAATTTGCTAAGTTTAAAACAAGGCATTCAAGCATGCAGAGGAAGCAGCCATCAGGAAAAAGAAAAGTGAATTTTTTTCTGAACTCATAAAGCTTACCATTAAAGATCCCTGGTTTTTCTGAATCTGAAAAAAGGCAATATGTAATTAGCATGTCATAATCAAAATGACTCACTTGGACACATTATGATCACTGAGAGAAAATTATTGCATCGCTGGTGGCAATTTGTGGGCATGTGTTAACACAATTTACATAATGAAAATACACAAATGTTAATAGCTCGCTTCTCATTTATAGGCGAAAGTCAGCAGAATGTTAATTTCACACAACACTTTTTAGTACCCTCCAGGTTGTATTAGAATAGGAAGAAAAACCATAATCCATTTCAAAAGGCTGTTTACGATTCAGATATAAATAATGTTTTATATTGCTAGATTGTGAACACTGGGCTTAATGTTGCAATCATTGCTAATGTTATGAAGCTCACTCTTTTTAAATTAAAAACCGATTTATTTAAAATTGAAATTAAATCATAGTCAGAAATTAGAATTTTGGATTACTGCCAGACTCTGCACACAATCCCTTTTTTGTGAAGAAAACTTTAATTATGTGGTTGAAGTATCTACTGCTGCTCAGGAAAGCCTTTAATACTCCACTTTTACCCAAGTTTCTTATATATTCCAACCCAGTTTTACTTTGACTATAAGTGGAGCATTGCCATCTGTGAGGCTGGAAAGTTTGATGAACTTTGTATTGCTTTAAATGGTAAAGGAAAGACTTGTTATCAGTCGTCTCTGAGCCTTTTTTAAATTTCTTCACATCAATTTAGTTGGGGAATTAATTAATAGTTTGTAGTAACAGACCATTTGATTGCTAACAAATATTCTGCCCCATACTGGCAAAGCACCTTTCGATTACAAAAAGAAACAAAGGCAGAATTACAATACAAACAATTAAAGACAAAGCACAGAGCAGATACTTAATGCAAAATATCCGACTGAATTTAGGGATGCTGGTGTTCTGATGATTTGTACATGCATACCATTTCTAACGGGTGTGGATAATTAATAACGTATTTTTCCTAAACAGACATAAAGTTGCTTGCAACCCAACATAATCACGATGCAAACAGAATGCAGTCCTTAGTGAAAACATTGTCTTCTGTTCTAACACAGTTTATTTGGCTTGCCCCTTACATTTAATATTCTCTGTTGTATAGTGCCATGATGATGAATGTTGCAGGGCTGCCATCAGCTTTGGAAGCGCTCTCCCCCAATACCCAGCCAGAGGCAGGATCCTCTAGTAATACTTTACAGGTAGTAAAATGTAATATAGAGGAGGTTGAAAACTAACACCAAGAAAATAGCTGGTATTATGCACGTGAAGTCTTTCATTATTGTATTAGTAGTGCACAAATATACACATGAAGTTTCTTCATATAATTCTATTTTTTCCAAGGAAGAACAGAAAATAATAAATAGAAGCAGCCCATTATATTTTTTAATGGTCAGGGTCAATCTATTACAATTCAACACCAGATATTTGCTGGTTTGCATTATTGCTAATAAGCAAAATACTCTGTGGATAGAAAAAGACTTTTTTTCATACTTCACTTCCAGATGCTAAATGACAAAATAAGACTCAGCTTATTCAATAGGGATGATTCGGAGCTTCTTTGGATTAGCACACATGAACAGGCATTTCAGTTTTTCATCCAAACAGAGTATATGTCACGTTTCCTTACCAGGAAAATAGGTCTTGCCTTGAAAAGGAATAGAGGTGAGATTGTATACAGTAGCCTCACCACAGATACGATTACATCCAATGTCAGAACAAGATTTAAAATATTATTTCTAATAAAAGTGCTCAGTGCTTCTGATGAAAAATAAAGCAACGCAAATTGAAGTACCACAGAATTCTTCCTGTGACATTGCAACTCTCCGCCGGAGCAGCAGGCCCAGCTCCTGCGAGAGGGAGAGACGTGTGCTCGCTCGCACACACATCGTTACCGGGGTTTATTACACAATTTTGATGGCGACATATTATTTTGAGATCATCTTCATAAATTTTGCATTAAGGTAGCTGTGCCAGTACCTGGAATTGATTCAAAATGCTTAAGACACTCAATTACTTTTTAACACTGTTACCCGATGTAATGACATATCTGCTATTTCCCTTGCATTTGATGATGCAACATCATTGTAATTGATTCATTTTCTCAATTAAATAAAGCTACTGTGCTTTCCTCTATGCGAATGCCACAGAGACTCTCCAGTTAGATGTATTACCTATTTTCTCTGTCTCAGATATATTGCTTGTAAGGCTGCACTGTGCTCCTCTGTTAACTCCACTAGAAAATGCAATGTTACAGTCATATTTTTCAAGTTCTGAACAGCAATGAACTTAGCTGTATTTATATTAGGCATATTTTTCACTGTTAAAACTATGTTGTTTACCTTTTCCAAGATCACATTATTGGGCAGCCTCTGCAACTATAAACCAAACCTAACTGACGACAACTTTACAGTCAGTGCTTCTCCTTTTGCACACAGTTCATGAAAAAGTGAAGCATCCAGTTTTATAGCACATTAAGAACAGTTTTAAAAGTACTCAACATAAAATGTTTTATCTTCCTGTTCACCCACACTCCTTTTTTTCTTCCCTTAACCGTCTGGTTTTCGTGCACCACTGGGAGGTAAGAAGTTTAGGAGGCAGGTTCCTCTCGAGGGATCCAAGTGCAGCGGCTGCAGCTCAAAAGCTTGAGCACTTGTCGTGTCGCTACCCCGTGTGATGCTCAGTAAACTCAGGGATAAGGAAGGAAACTGTCACTGTCACATTTTTATACTTTCCATGAAGAATTTAAAAGAGTGAAATGGTAGCAGTGACACAACTGAACACCCTGCTTGAACGGAAGACAAAAAAGACACAGTGTGCATTTTAAGAGTATCAAGGAATGCTTTGGTGCGCTCATTCAAACGTCATTCTCATCTCAGAAAAGTCACTTTAAGTCACCAACACGCTCCCTCAGCCATGCCAGAAGAATGTGGGTAAGCCTGACCTGCTCATTACTGGAAAACCCAGTTAGTCAGAAGGTTTTGTAAGCTTTTTATATGCAAGCGAAATGGTGTAAATTTACAGAAATAGATCTGCTATTTGATATTTTGGAACCTGTATTGTATTTGCTGTTTTTAATACTGCATGTGATAGTTTATAATTTGAAGAAACAGATAAATAAATCTATCACATTAACAGTCTATTTCTTAGGTCATGAAATATCAGTGGTATCTGGATAAACTACTCCATAAAGCACATTCTCCAAATGGCTTTTTTTTTAGGTTGGTTAAAAATGCAAAAGTTTGCCTCCTGCTTCATCTACTATTTAATGAATGCCTCTGGTTATGAAAAGCAACTTTTGACAGACCATCAGGTTATATTTCTGTCTCCATGGAGATACTTTGGACGGGAAGTGGCTGAGAAGACCTCTACCATCCCTTTCACATTATATTCACAAGCATAATCAAGGAAACTCAAATGAATCCACCCCGGGTAACTTAGAGGAGTCACTAGCTATAGCTTTAATTTTCACTTTTACTCTCTGGAATTAGGACTTGCCCTGGAGCTCTTGTTTGAGAGATTTGCAGGTGACCCAGGGTTAGATCTTCTCATATCAGTTAACAAATTTTCTCTTTACATATATACTGCTTTTCAAGCAGTGATATATTTTTTAATAGAAAAATACATATACCAACAAATCATACAGTTATGATTTTTAAGGAAGGTTTCATGGTAGAACATTTATTGTCTTAATCGAGGAAACTGTGGATTTTAAAAGTACATATAACTTATTTTTAATCTTTACAAATGAGGGTTAAAGCTGTATTGAACAGCAGAAGCTACAAACATTGTCTCCTACTGACAAATGACCAACACACACTTGCTTTGTCTCTGCCCTGATATAAATGGAAAAGGAATACATAAGTGTACTGCATTTCCATGTGGTCTTCACCACCATGGGTTTTACTCTTCCTCTGGAATGAAAGTGCAATCTTCATATATTTGTAAAAATATATATTTTACAAATGCCTGCAAAACTGAAATTGGTTATAGTTCTGAAAGAAGTCAAAGCACCAAACCAGTAAGACTGACTCCCCATAATTTGTTCCTGATGTTCTGAAAACCCTCCTCATACCAATCTGCAGACTTTGCAAATGGCAAACTTCAATTATTCTCATAAAACAGAAGACAAAAAAAAAAGAATAAAAAAATTTTCAAAATTAAAAAAAGGACAATTGTCAACAACCTTAATATTAAATATATTCTTACAATTATATTATGCTGGTGTTCCCAGAGGTCTACGAACAAATTTATACAAAGAGATTATTTCATCCACCATTGAACTGCAGCCACTTCTCACAGAAATCTGTTTACCAGAGTTTAGTAACACAATTCAACCAAGTGGGCATGAAAAACTACACTGTTGAAATTGTGGAGGGAGTGTGAGATGCTAACAATAACTACTACACTGGAATAGGACCAGGATGCTCATGATATCACATTCCTCAGTCAGCAGGAATGTGGGACAAATAAGTCTTTCCTAAGACAGCAAATTTACCAAACTGCCATTTAAGACCTTGTTTCGAGTGTCACAAGAAGTGCGATTAAGTAGAACAAAGGGTTGTCAACTAGAAACCAAATAAAGGAATAGGGTTTAGTTCTAACCAGTTCTTGTTTAATGTCACTCATGCTTATCAAGTTTAGCAAGTGATCACTGTAGTAATAGAGGGGAATAGCAGGAGAACCTAGAGGACACTAAGGAAGAGGAAAACTGATCACATCTGAGCAGGAATAATGTCATGACACTACCAAAAAAAAAAAAAAATCCCCAAAACCCCAAAAGAAGAAACACCATAGTGGGATGTCCAGGGAGGAGTACACTCTGAAGACACACAAGGTTATCCTTTCTCCATGCAGTATAGTGGAGTGCTGTGTCCAAGCCTGTGCACCCCCAGAGAGTTGTTGGCCAGCTGGAGAAAGTTCAAAAAAAACCCCACAAGAGCAGCCAGAAATCTAGAAAGGAGAGACGAAAGTCTTCAGACTAAAGACAGAGTGAGGATGACCAGCCCTC